TGCTATTTTCACATATGGTCGGAAAGTGCTATTTTCACATATGGTAGGAAGGTACGATTTCCATGCATGGTCGGAAGGTGTTATTTGCACATGTGGTAGGAAGGTACGATTTCCACATATGGTAGGCAGGTGTTATTTGTACATATGGTAGGATGGTACAATTTCCACATATGGTAGGATGGTATGATCTCCACACATGGTCAGAAGGTGTTATTTTCACATGTGGTAGGAAGGTATGATTTCAACATATGGTCAGAAGGTGTTATTTTCACATATGGTAGGAAGGTACGATTTCCACACATGGTCAGAAGGTGCTATTTTCACATATGGTAGGAAGGTACGATTTCCATGCATGGTTGGAAGGTGTTATTTGTACATATGGTAGGAAGGCACGATTTCCACGCATGGTCAGAAAGTGCTATTTTCACATATGGTCGGAAAGTGCTATTTTCACATATGGTAGGAAGGTACGATTTCCATGCATGGTCGGAAAGTGCTATTTTCACATGTGATAGGAAGGTATGATTTCCACACATGGTCGGAAAGTGCTATTTTCACATGTGATAGGAAGGTATGATTTCCACACATGATCGGAAAGTGCTATTTTCACATGTGGTAGGAAGGTACTATTTCCACACATGGTCGGAAAGTGCTATTTTGACATGTTGTAAGAAGGTACAATTTTCATGTGAGTGGGAAAAATACTATTTTCCCATGTGGTATGAAGGGTACTATTTTCACATGTGGACGAAAGTTACTATTATCACATGTGTAAGGAATGTACTATTTCCACATGAGGTGGTCACAGGTTGAATTGAAACAGCTCAATGAATTCATATATAGAAAACATTTTGTTCAGCTTACCAACAAGATTTTATATTTTTCTTTGGTGTTCAGAGAGTGGAATTTAATTACTGCAGTGTGGGCAAAATACAAATGTAATACATCCTAATTATATTCATACCGAAAATTTGTTTTCTTGCAACATTGCAGCAAAAACTAGAAGAAAATATTTCAACACAAGCCCACACTGAAGAAATCATGAAACCACTCATTTTTTGGCGTGTTTGTTTATTTGTTTGTTTAAAGAAAGACAAAGAAAAGATTTTAACATTTTCAGAAAAAAAAGTACCAGCAGAGCATATTTAGCGGAAAGTTTATTATAAGTACAAAGCAAGTTGCAGCAGTATACCTGAACCTTAATATTTAGCTCCAATGATTGACTGCTTGACATTAAGCCACATAAAAACATAGAGCAAACACCCATTTTATATGCATTTACATGAATCAAGCATTTTTATAATTTTATATTTACATATGCAAATTACACAATTGAAGGAACCGTTAATTAACACCGAGCAAACTATAATTGACTGTAACACCATCACTACCACCACATTTAGCAGAAAACAATATTTAATATTATATTTCATTTTATGCAAGGATGAAAGTTAAGATGAATAATGATTGTTAATGTATGTTTCCATGGCAATGCATGGTGTAAGCAAGGACAAACAGAAACAAAACACGGCAACATAAAAACAAACGAAACAAATTAATGAAAAAACATTTACATGATTAACAGCAATGGACAATCTGATTAATGTAAGATATTGGATTATAAATTGTTTTTAATTGTTAATGCGTTTAATTAAAATTTTATTTTATTTGACAGCAAGTTAGTTTCTATGATTAAAAAAGCTCAAATTGTTCCAAAATACAGAATAATTTGCCAAGGAAATAAGAAATCAACGAGAATTCTTATTTGATTTGAAATAACCAAAATATCCAAAAATTCTCATTTTAATCAGATTGATCGATAATAACATAATTCATTCGTACATAACTCACATACACAGTGTCCTCAACATTCAGTGCATAGTGTGACACCATTAAACCACACATACGACATATGCACCAGATAACCTGCATGTCTGCTCGAAGTACATGAGGTTTCATTTTCACAAAAGACACAAATGATGATGAGTTCATTGCTGGGGACAGTAACATATTGGTATATTTTGTATAGTTGATACACTAAGATAATATCAATATTTATTTTAGCTGCAATTAATTTTTGCTGAGAGTTTTTTTCAGCGATTTGTATGGAAATTATTTTCACTTTTTGATGAGTTAAATGTAAAATATCGGAAAAACGGTATATTCGCTGGATTTTATCTTCACTGAATCATACCTTTAGTATAAATATCGAAAATAAATTCCAAGCAAAAATCAACATCATTTGTCCGTATATTTTCTATTAGAGATTCATCTCAAATAGAAGAGCATGTAAACAGTTGCATTTATCATATACTGAATTATCAAATTATAAATTATAAACACACTCATTAATTCCATTAGTGCATGCGCTATTTTTAATTAGATCAAACTTGCAATTTGAAACAAGCTTGCAATGAGTTTAAAAGTTTAGTTGCAGCGGCTGCTCACAGCAAATCATATTTGCAAAAGTAGGATTAAAAAAATGCAATTTTTTTGCAACAATTTTTTTTTGGGATGCAATAGAAAGCATGCAAGAAGTCTTACTTCAAAATCAATCAATTATTAGAGGAGGAGGGAAATGGATTTCATCAGGTTAGTGGGGAAGACTGGCTTGTCAACATTAGAGGGGGGAAGAATATCAACATGTTAGTGGGGGCTACAGTTTAGTGTTACTCTGGTTTATAGATACGTATAATTAGTGGGACTTAGAACATGCATTTGGTAATTAATAACAACATGCTTGGATATCACAATAACTTAGTGTTATGCAACTAAATGTATTGTTATTTATGCTAACACTAGCAGTAATAATATTACTGTATTATTAACATAAAAGCAATCGTTAACATGAAATCCTGGTCATGGTTAGGTAATATTTTGTACCCCACCCTCATATTGCCTACCGCATTGGACCCCTTGCCCACTCGATTGGAGCCCCTCCCCACCCCATTGGACAAATCGGATTAAAAGCTAATGTAGGTAGAGTGAGAATTACTCTAAAATGATCAGATGTATAAAAGAGATTCTCACGAATAAAAAGATGTTCTACTCGCATCTGTTTTTAATGTTGGTCAGCTCAATTATGTTTTTAATTCACAAAAATCTGTGCCTCATTCACACATCTCATTTAGTGCAAGCACTGACAAACTCTTTATGCTCAATGAATGTGAAATGTACACAGCATCTTTTGAAATGTTCCCAATGTATGGTGTGAACAATGCATTTCCCCATGCTGAATTGGACAGGTATGAGAAGCGCCCTCAGTGTTTTTATTACACAAAAATGAAATTGAAAATACTGACCCAATAGTGCTTGTTATAGGTGGCTGCTTTGGAACTGTATAACCAGGCAAAGATTTCTGAAAAGAAACACAATTATTTTTAGATAATATGCTGCAAACACTCTAGTCTAACACTATATGTTTAGAGGGCTAGGCGTCAAGAATTGATCAATTCATGGTCAACTGTAGAATAGTATATATCATGATTGTAATAACACTAGAAAACTATTTCTGGTAGATCAACTTCAAAAACTATACAGTCATCTAAGTATATTTATGTTTGATAAAGATCTGCTAAATATGGGAATTAAGTCTTCAACAAACATTTTTACAACAACGACAGACGACAACAAATTTGGTATTACTATGACTTTACTTACTGTGGTGAAACCACAAATTATGTCAATTTACAATGATGGAAACACCATACACTGTGAATGATTTGAAAATCAACAAATGTCAACAATGAAGTACCGGTTACAGGTGTATATGTATATGTATACTTTCTGATCAAATTTATGCTATGTAACATTGTTACCAAAGTGTTGACATGATTACTGTAAAATATTTTATTTTAAGCTAGAATTTTTGGGCATTTTGTATGGAATTTATTTTCACTGATATGTGACGAGTTGAATGTATATAGGAACAAAGTATATTCATTAGATTTTATTTTCATTAAATCTTCCCTTCAGCAAAAAAAATGAAAAATAATTAAAAGTATTTGCCAGTATAATAAACACAGGAACAGCATGTTATGAAAACTAAGAAATTACTTACACTATTCTGGCCATAATAAAAGCTCAATGGCCTAGGCTTATCTTTAACAGTAAACGATATAGCTTTACTTAATTCTGAAAAGAAAGATAAACATATGAAATAACAGTATATATGCACGATATGCATGAATTCACAGACTTGCTGTATATATACGTGAATTGAGACATGCATATTAATATTCGTCTGGATGCAATAGTTTCAAGTTTCAAATCTACAGGGCATTGAAAAAATATTATATATTATAAATTAATAATTTGTATTTGTAGACAAAAGGTTTAAAAAGTAGTAATATCAAGGAGTAATAAGACAAGGGTCTGCTGGTATAATATATCTATATGGCAAAATAAGCATTGAGTTATAGAGGTCTAGGAACTAGGTCATCTTAGGCTTTATTTCACAAAGCATGTATTACTGTTATATCTGTATTAGAAGTCGCACCCATTCTTTGAGACCTAAAAATTCATCATTTCTCATATGTATGGATGCTCTAATAGAAGCCACATCCCCTCTGTTGTATTGTACCATTTAATAAAAGTCACTGCTTCTATTAGATATTTTACATGTGTTTTGCCTATTTGAATATGACGGAAATCTTGTTTGTATCTGTCTAAGACATCCATGAGATTACACATAGATATCTAAGTTGCATACCCTTATTTTATACATCCTTGGTAAGACATAATGTTACCAGTACTTAGGCCAGACTTTTATTATCCCTTATTTCGCAAACCCGCCGAATGAACAGGAGCCGAAAATGAAATAAAAATATAATTTTATTTCAGCGCAATTTCTCGCGCCCGCCGACTTGTAAGCGCAAACAAATGCTAAAAAAATATTATTTTTATCTTCATTTTTTACCACCCATCGCATAACAAATCCAAGTTGCATTTTCGTGGCAGTATCATGATCAAAGTACCGAAGTCTCGGGCAAATGAGAAACAAGGTTATAAATTTTTTTAAATTTTATTTCATCTCTCCGATCAATGATCTCACTTACAATTCTTTGAGAATCACACAAATCTAATGAAAAAAAAAGAATTAATTTTATTTTTTTTCCGCCCTCCTCAAAAATTGCCTTATAAAAATTCGCGAAACAAGGAATAAAAAAAGTCTGGCCTTATTGACAGCACATCAATGTGATAGATGATACTTACCTGACGTACTCACGCTGAACTTCTTATCTCGTAAACTACCTGCTGGAGGTTTATCTTTTGGATGTTTGGACACTTTTGAACATGGTCCAATACTTTCCTTACATGTATCATGAGTGTTGATGGAACAAACTACAAAAAACACAAAACACTACCATTATTAGACAATTTTTATTCGTTAACATTAGAAATTTAACTTTATTTCTATTTTGATTGTATTTGTTATTTTTTGAATATTTACATTTTGTAAGGGTCTAAATTTTTTTTAGTATATTGTATTATGGGTTAGAATGAAGGCATTCAAAAAATCCATCTAAAAATAATGATTATATAAATATGCGAGTACACAGTCAAAGTCAATGCAATCAGTCTACAAGCAGTTTAAATACGGTTGTTAAACAGAAGTCTCAACTAATATTGAGTATGAGACTACAGAACATAGAGAGCTGTAAAGAAGACTACAAAAATGTATTTCATTGGGACAGTGAGCCGAGAAATATCTGTGATTTATTGAGGAACAAACACTTTCGCAGTGAACAACCAGACAATTGGAATCTGTGAGGAAATATATTCTGTAATTATTTATAGTGAAATTTGGTGTGTCAAATAAATATTTGTCATTACGTCATCTTTTTAAATCACTCTGAAAATCAGAAGTTTTCATGGGTGTGAGAACACCTTTGGTAATGCCTATTTTCTATGAGTTTCTGCTTCGTTTGCTTAATTACGAATGAATTAGACAGAACATAGATCTCATCAAATGTATTCAAAACGCTTCAAAATATTTATATCTTGAATATTACAGTTTAGTGCCAAACATTTAAAATTGTAAAACATTTATTTTTAGGGTAATAAGCAAAATGGCACAATGAATGAAAGACCACACAAAGTCGAGTCTAGTCTAGTCTAGTCTAGTCTAGTCTAGTCTAGTAGAATCCTAAATGAATCAAAGGATGTGTTAAGGACTTAGTCATATTTTTTACTGCCACAAAACATATCCATGTGACAGGAAATTGAGACCACCACTCTTAACATAAACAATTTTGTTCACTTTTCTTGTGTATGAAATAACATGCATTTCAGATACACAAACACTGAAATTACATTATTATTCTACAAGAAGTATTAACTTATGATGGGAGTGTATAAATGTTACCTTGGCACTTGACTGCATCTTTATTCACCAATGGTTTGTCACAATAATCACATTTTGCAGAATTAGAGACTGATACAGCGACAAAATGATGAGTTGACTTGCTCTTGTCTTTGTGCTTTTCCTGTAATATGAAGAGACAAAAGACAAGTGGATACACAGGACATTGACTACAACCTTCCTCTTACAGTCTACGGACAATAGCTAAACTATAAATGCCTTGCCATCAAGAAAAGTTGACATTAGAAGACTTCAATTAAAGAACATAGGTTATTGTGAACAAAAGGGTGTAATGACAGCCATCTATTTAAGGTAGAGATGCAGGTTGGGAGACTATATTTCTAATTGTCTCTAATTACTGTAATTACATGAGTAAAATATACTTTTTACCCTTCAAGTTATATATCATTTGAAAGAGTTTTATTTAAACTGTTGAGTTTTATGGTTTACAATAATGTACTATGATACTATATTAAGTGGT